CTTCACCTTTTCCTTCAGTCTCTCTTTGCCTCCTAAAGCTTCAAACGCGATTACAGATTTCAAAGGAAGAATTATTTCTGGGAAGTTGGAAACATACACATAAATACTCTGCTGAGGGCTCGAAGCTGAGAATCGCAAGATTCAGCAAAGTTGGCATTGCTGCTAAATGGTTGGACCCAACCCAAGAACAAGGTGCTATTAGGCAGCGTCTTATAAAGAATGGATCACCAGGCAGCAGCAAGCTGTCCTCGTGTTATTTGCCTGAATTCACATTCAGCTTGGCAAGCCTTTCCCAGAGCTCTCCCAGCTAGTGAGTCTAATCCAGGTGTCCTCGAGTTTCTTCTCCCTTGGAATAGATATTCGTGTGATGTTCTCATAAGCTCAGGTTCAGTACAATACCCACCTCGACCTAACCCACCTTTCCAACCCTTTCTAACTTTCTAATCAGAAAATCTTCCGACTTTATTTAAATGTTTTTGCACACATTGCCTCTCTTTCCTTCCAGAATGCATTTCCTGTACATCTCTGCTGCCAAAATCCTGTCCCACCTTAAATGCTCGATTCAACCGCTGCCTTCTCCACGAGGCTGTTACCAATTTCCTCCCCACATCTCATTCCTCAGCTGAAAGCACTTGCTCTCTCTCACTCTCTTTTTTTTTTTTTTGGCTCACTGCAATTTGCACTTCTTTCATTGTCCCAACCTGTATTTGCGTAAATAACTTCATTTCCCAGTATATTTTAAATTGTATACAGAGACTGCATTTTGTTAATACCTGTATGCTCCATTGTAGTCAAAAACAGAATACGGACTCCATAAATTAACGTTGAATTGAATTGAAATGTCACATTCTCAGGAAGGAAAATCACCAGAGAAGCCACTTTTGACCCATTCATTTATTTCCTTTTCTCCTTTGGATTATGAACAAAGAGTAAATTTTCATAATTATCCAAAATGAAAGAAATGATGAAATATGTGTAAGAGTTGAATTTTAGAGGTGTTTGGGGAAGAAATGCAGATTGAGAAATCGTAAGCACATCATCTCAGAAGTAGGGATCTTTTCTTATCTTCAATCCAAGCCAAACATTTCACATGATGAGCTACTAAAATGGGAATTTCTTAGTATATAGGAATTAGTAATAATAGAGTAAGATGATCCAGTTTCTACCGTTTTCAAACTTTCAGAGAAGTAGCTCTTGCATAAAGATTGTAACTAAGACCCTGCATCCTAACCTATTTACCACTTTGTAGGCCTCTGTTATGTTTTTTATGCATTTTGTCAATTTTACCACTCAGTGTAGGTTGCATCTAAAAAATAGTTTTCCTATAGTTTAACAGAAGCAGTTTGAGAATTTTCTACCTGATAAAATCATTGGATGAGACATCACTACTTTCATAATTGATCCATAAAGATGAAGTCATATGGAAATATATATACAGGAATATATTTAATGGAAAAATAAATAGATGAGAAAGGCTACAAATTATAAAATTAAGATGAGAATAAAAGACTAGTCACATGCACAACAATAGATAAATATCATAAAATGTTTAGCACTATAAAGATATATAGAAAAATCTGATTTGTAAATGGAAAGAATAAAAGAAAAGTTCAAATCTCTTATGTCAAAGTAAATTATTATATTGAAGGCAGGCTTTCAACTGCAAAAGTAGGGAAGAATAGTATCAAAATATGGTTTAATATTGCTAAAGAGGTAGTGCTGAGACATGCAGCCAGTCAATAAAACAAATGAATATCATATCCCATTTATTTGAATTTAAATTTCCAAAATATCAAATGGCTAATTAGTGTTAAAGGGACGTTAACATTTATTTCTGGACCTCTTGAGAATACAGTTGTTTTTCTGTAAATTGGAAAGAGAGGTATTTAAAAATGTATTAGTAAGCTAAATTTGTATAAAATCAGAACACTTCACTTTTGATTAACTGTCCTGAAGATGGCTTTGATAGCAATTGCAATCTCCCTTTTTTATCGGATCATTGAAGAAGGAAATGATATCACATTTTATCCAATGTGGATGAGGCAAGTCATAAATGAAAAATATGTGTTCTCCATCCCTTAGCCATATTCCTGCTCCTCAAAACCTCTCTCTCCTTTATTTTATGATACAGGCTTTTGAGATGATTTTACTCTCATCTCCTTTATCTGTGTATATAAAGCCATATGAATGGATGTAATATTTAAACATCCTTTCACTTTTACCAGAGCTTATGTAATTATTTCTAAGAAGCCGATTAGTAACCCTATTAATTTAGTATGTATAAAATTTCATGATATAAAGGAATTAAGTAAAGCTATGTGATTTCTTCCAGGTGAGAATATACCAAATTCAGAGAAAAATGAATCTATCATATTCTTTTATAATATTTTGGAAAACACGCCATCAATATTGTGAAACATTTTTAGAGACGACAGTGAAAAATTGAGGACAATCTTAAAAGAGGCTTAATTCTTGTGATGTTTCTTTTTCTTGGAGATTACAATCCCTATTCTCTGCATTTCAAATTATTTAATGTTGTTATGAACTATTAATGTAGAGACAATCTAAGTTATATGATGTGACTGTCATTTTAAAGAGGAAGGCATGTTACCAGGATAATTTAATGTTTTAGGATGATTTAAGATACCAGAGAGGCAGATATTAAATAGGGCAAGATTTCAGAATTCACAAAATGTGGAACAGAGAAACTGGATATTGAGTTCAAGTGTGGGCTTAAGGTTTCCAAGCTAATTGCCCTTTCATAAGTCCATTTCCCTTGAGCTTCAGAATCCTTAATTCCGTAATGTCCTGTAAATTTGTTAAAGTCCTCTGTGAACTGGAAAATTCTCTCCAAATAGAATTTATCAATATTAGTTTAGGTTCGTGTAAGCATTCTTTTAGTTGGCCTGCCTGATGCTATAAGCCCTTAGAGAAATAAGCATAATGTTCACATAAGTTGTGATGAACACCAATATTTTAAACAAAATATAGTGATAATCTGTATATGGTGAGCAAAAAGAGGGTTCCAAACTTGTTTATGTTTGTTTTCTGACAATCTTTTTCAAATATTATGAAATAATTTGACTCAGTATTGTAATTTCAGGAAACTAAATTTTTAAATATATATCATAATCAAAATTTAGTCTATTAGGATGCTATAGATCATTTATAAGTTGCTCCTTTCAAAGTGAAATGTTTCATTTGTAAGCCAAAAAAAAGACCTATTTGACCTAATGAGTAATATTAGCCTGTGTGATACAGAATTTATAAAAGCACATTGAAATCTTCCCTCCCTTAATTAACGTAAAATACTCATTATCACTTAAAACAGTTTGAAAAAACTGTTATTTTTGATAACTCTTTCTGAAATATTAAAAAATATTAAAAGAGGGAACAATAAAAGAATGTGAACCCTCTTTTATAAATACTGAACATCCCTAATGTACAATAGGTTGTTTAGTATTATTAATGTCTAACATGAACAGAAAACAATATATTTCCTTGGTGAACCATGTGTAGCCGTCTCTGAAAGCATGTAATAAAGAGTTTAAGGATGGTCCATTAACCTGATGATCTATTTCTGTGTGCTGTATTGATGCTATGGTGATGTTTAAGAATGGGTTCTCTTCCGATCCTAAAAAGAATTGTTCTCTGTGTTTCTCAAATAATTGTATCTTTTGTGCATATCTACTTAAAAAAAAACATAATTTGAGGGGCTTTACTATTTCATTGACATGGAGTAAGTCTGTGCTGTAAGTTCTACTCACAAATTCCTCATTAGAGCCTGGTCAGGTAGGGTTTTTCATCTGAATGATTCCAAGCTCCCTGAATCTGGTCAGCTGGTTCAGGTGAGTCAGTTAACAGCTTGTTCAACTCTCGCACTTGAAAGCAATGAATGGCATGCCAGGCATATGGTTTTGCTCTTCTTAAAGTGAAATTATTTTTATTATAAAAAGGTAATAGTAATACCAGGTTAATCACTGTGTTAGTGCCTATCACCTAGGCACAAACTACAAGTACTCTGAGGGTAAAATGTAATCGGTTTAGTTCTTTGGACCTTACAGTCCTTGTATGGCACCTGACATCTAAGTGATGCTCAGTGAAAGAGAAACAAGTTAACAAGTAAACAAGCGAAATAATGAATAGATGGGCCAGTTAATCTATCCCGATAAGTCTAAATCAGAAAGATCTTCTTAAATATGGAAAAGCAGTTACTCTTCTTGATATAATTTAACCTCTGAGAAGAAAAGGAAAATTAAAAGAAAACATCTACAGGGGCATAATACTATTTTGGTTTGCAATTTAGAAGATGCCACCCATTGAGGGTGAGATGGCAGAAATACGGGATGAGTGGAGTAACTGAGGGAAAAATGCAAGCAGGAAATCCAATTTATTAAGAGTAATGTGTATTAGAACTTACCTATTTGTTTTTCCCACCAGACTGTGATCCAGGCACCAGCCCTTATTTACTGTTTAATCCTGGGGCATAATAGCCTAGGGAACACACACAGTAGGAATTCAACAAATGTTTGTTGAATGAATAGAAAGAGTGGCTTATATTTTTAAGATGCCACACTAAACATATATATACTTGCAAATGCCATTTATAAATATGTGGTTTCATCAGTCATATAAGATTACAAGAGGTCTTATAAAAATGACTTTTCTAAAGCCCTTTAAGCTCTTGTACCAAATTATCATCAATTATAAATATTAAAAACCACAAGTATTGTTAGGCTATGACTCCATAGTAATTTTTTGACTATCCAAATTATCTAAGCTATCTGAAAGATGGGTAACCCATTCCCATGGAGAACCTAGTGACATTATTGTTCAATACATTTTTCCCAAAGCTGATTTTACTGTCAAATAAATAACTAGCAAAAAATAGTTGTGATGCTGCGGTTGCTTTCCAAAATAATTATGATCAGGGTCCCTGTGGTACGCCGTGTAGAACACATCGCTTGTGTATTAATGAATTCAAGGGACGGCAATGCCACTATTAGTAATAGCTTTTTATTCGGAGTCCTCATTTTCCATATAGGTCACATTAAACACAGCCATTAAACAATAGCGTTGAGATAAATCCTTACAATGTATGCTGCTTTTTGTTGTTGTTGTCTTTGTTCACCAATTACTTGGTGCAGCTAAGAACCTTATGGAGTGATGGGGCTGATAAATGAGAATAGCCAACCTGCAAAACACTGGGGCCAGGGAGAGTCAGACTTTATTCATCTCATTCAGTTACATTTCCAATCAACACATCTTGATAGCCAAAACTCTCATTTGAATGAACGCTCTGATAAATGCTGTCTGTTGTCAAAAGAATGTAATTAGACAATAATGAGTAGGCATATAGTATGCCAAACCTCAGTCTACTTGTTGACCTCAGCAACTTCTACTCCATTAGGCAATAAACAGCTTTTAACTCTGTTCTAATAAAGCACACTGCTCGATTACTACATGACTTTTTTTTTTATGGTGTCATTTTTTTAAATTGAGCAGTACCTAGATCCTTTAAAGGGAAGTCATGTGTTTTACAAGATCTCAGCTAATTTAGGCAAACAAAACCAGTCAATTTCCCAACCAGGGATTCAATTCATTTAGGGAGTAGTGAGCCAATCTTTGCATATTGCCTGCAGTAAAGATAAGTCTGTCAGGTTAAGACACAATATGAAAGCATTGTTTGAAATTGCATGATATGTCTCTTTAATGTTTACTTTGGTATAGGTATAACTAACACTGATTCTCACTACTTTTAACTTTGATGTAAAGATCTTTCATCATTAACATTTAATGGAAAAATAGTTTCATTACTGATTTTTTTTCATTCATCAATAAACAATGTTTAGAATTCTGACTTTCTTATGAAGATTTCTATAAATTATTTTTCTGTGCTTGACTTCAGTCTTTTAAGGACCTAAAAGACAAAGTATTATTTTTCATTTTGAATGTGTGGAATTTTTTTTTGAGGGATTAGTCACTGGAGGATGTGAATTAAATAATTTTTTCACATTCTGAATGATGCTAAAACCCCTTGAAGTATCACTGTTTGATCATGCATCACCCCTGAGAGCATATTGCTCCCCAAAAGGGTAATTTTGGCATCTCATGGACTTCCTTGGAAGCCAAGCACCAGAGGTCTGTGATCAAGGCAGTTGCCAGCCAGATGAATCAAAGCGAGTTTCCTTCAACTCAACTATAAAAGCTTAGAGTCCTGACTGCTAAATTACCACCAACTTGTAAATAAATAATCACTACTAAATACAGATAATGTGTTAAACAGCTATCACTAGTAAATCACTGGTGACAGAGCCTAAATTCCTCAAACATTGGCACAACCAATCCTTAAAATCTGATAGTGTTTTAATGTCTTCAGACACATATAATAAATTGAACAACTGGTTACTCAGCGTTAAGAACGTTTGAAAAATAAACCCTACTCTCTTTGTTGATTTCATTTACATACTGCCTTAGATTTTACTACTGGTCTATCTGTCTAGTAAGAGAGAGGCAACACTTGGTAAGACTAAATGTCAATCAGTTTTTCATCAAATTTCAGCTATCACACTAAATCAACCTGTAGTCTCCTGGCAAAAATAATAATCATAACATCATATAACAAAGACAACACATTTCAGATACATAAATTGTCCAAAATATAGAGAGTCAATTAGGTTTCTCATGTACAAGATCCCTTCTTTTCTGATTTAAACATCTACGAATAATAAAAACCGATTCAAGCTTTGGAAAGGCTGTTACTAGGAACCAAATACAGTTCTCAAGAGAATAAGGCTGATGGGAGTTGTCCACTCTTCCCTTTCAAAGCAGTTTTGCAAACAAGGTACAGTCTAAAATCTTGACGACATTTGAGGGAAATTATTTTCAGTGGGATGTTTTGAGGTTTAAAATTACAAAACTGAATTCACCTCAATATTTGTTTTTGCTTTTGTTTTTGTTTTTAATAGAAGGGTTTTATGACATTTATGCTGTTTCTACACTGGCTCAGTGGCCAGGAAAGAAGGCACAGAATTCTCCACCAGTTTGCAAATAATGCATTTTTCTGCCCCAATGCACAAACAGCCTTTATTTAAACTCAGCACCACATTTTCGAAGGTATGGGCTGGAAACTGTTTGTCATGAAGCTATAAAATGCCAAAAATTTTCAACGCTGAAGGAAAATGTCAATCAAGGCATTTTCCCATCTGCTGCTGCTTCTGCAAGTGCTAATTTGATTTTTTCCCAATTCCTGAAATTTGAGGTTTCCTAGCCTAGTATGGAAGGAAGTTTGAAACTTGCTAAATGTCACAAGAAAAGGTGCAACCAAATGCAGGAGTAGAAGGTGTATTGTTCTCAAAGGACACCAATAAAAAGAGGCAGAAGAGCATTGGAGAAAAAAAAAGGCAAACCTTTTGTTAAGACCCAGACCTCTTGAAAAACACTACACAATGCAAGTAACCAGTGCTGGTACCACACATGCATTAAAGCATTTTTTATGGTTTTGAAATATAATGGGAAACACACACCTTGAACCACTTAAGATACTTTTTGAGAACCAATCAACAGGATGATATCTACACAGGCAGAAGCTGAATGTTATTGAAAAAACATGAAGAAGGTTCAAGTTTTGTTACAAATGTAATTCTTGTGATTCAGCATGACTTTAATAAAAGCTTCTACAAGAACTTGCACATAACCATGACTGACGGATGGATTTTTTGACCTTTCAGTTAGCTCCATCAGCTCACTCAAACACATTTTGAACAGATTATGTACTGCAGTACTTGGTAGACTATACATTAAACGAGAGACTTCGCTCTGAGGCACTGCTTCCAACACTCCATGGGGAAAAGGAAGCAGGAAAAAAACAAAACTCATAGAGTTCGACAGCTACCGAGGCAACACTTGCCATTTACAATATAAGCCCAAATATTTTTGCAACACAACTATATATTAATTTAATAAAATACACAATATAGCTCTTATACACTCAACAATTTGGCTCATATGCACTGAATCTGCAATAAATCAATAAAAATATGTCATTTGATGTAAACACATTGAATCTTCTTACATTTTGCACATTTAAATGGTCAGGTGATTTGTGTTATGTCTAAGACATGTTCACTTTCCTGAGCTATTTTAGTGTCCACAAATGAATGAAACATACCAATTGCGTTAATTGTCTCTGAATATCATCCCTCGATGGTCACTCTTTTTCAGAACTTTTCTAGGTCAAATTGAAAACACATCCATCACTATTTAGTCTGTTTGCTGGACACTAAAATGCTGATGAGGCATTTTAAACCTTTAAATTTTCTTCTCCTTTAATGAAGTGAATTAGTCTATGTGTGTGCAGGACAAAATGGACCATACCATTTTACATTTAACTTTTATACGACGTGAGGTGTTTTTTACAAATGACCAAGTTTTAAAAAAATTTTTTTTCGACTAATGATATGGAATGTTCTTTGTGTTTATATGTGTGGCAGGTAACTTTATACAGAAATGTTCACCACAAAGATGTGTTCATGTTTGGTGTAGCTCGGACTACTGCAAGGTCTTTTCGGGACTTTCAGTAGAAGCCTGTGGTGACTGCTAGAAATCTACCACAGATCACAAATTCTGACCCTGCTTTGTACGGGGTTTATAGGTAAACAGTTAAGTCAGCATAAATCACGGAGGACAGTCTTAGAGTGATCAGAAAAAACGTCCATTCTCCCATCGCATACCTTCCTCACAGATTGTCAAAAGGTAACACGCCTTTTCATCCTCCTTTTCCTTTTCTCTTTTCTTCTTTTTTTTTTTCCTCTTCTCTTTGAGCATCATTAATTCTGTCCTAATATAAGTTTGATCAAAACAAAACCATTGTTATCTCTGAAAAAGAAACAGCAGTGAAAAGAACGTACTTGTGGGCACTTCAGATGTTCACTAAAAGCCTTAAAGCAGCGTCGGTCTTCCTTCATCCCTGTAAAAATGAGTTGTCACCAGGAGGGATCATTTTTAAATCGACAGAAGAGACGGAAATGCCAATGCTTTTTTTTTTTTTTCCCCTTTCACTTTCTCACAGCCACAGGGTCATTTCCCCGGCAGTCTTGCAGAAGCTTGTCGATTTCTCGAACGACTTCCTCAGCATCCACGGACTCTCTGCCCAGATCCCTGTTGGGGTGGTCGAGATGCTCCAGGACAGCGCCCATCTCGCTGGAATCCCGGCTGGCTCTCGAATGCACATCTGCGAAGACCCTCGCCATCTGCTCAGAAGCCAGGAAGGGAGGGTCTCTCGGTTGCTTGCTGGGGGACAGATACTGACTGTCAGTGGGCAAGTACTGGCCGCTCGCTTCGGCCAGAGCTCCCGGTTTCGCTTCGCAGCCATCCAGAGAGCCTTTGGTGGAGGGGCAAGGCTCGATGCCTGCCTTGGTTGGGCTGCTGGATGCGGAGGGGACCTCTTGGAGGAGAGGGCTCAGGGCACGTTTGGCTTTTAAATAAGGTTTCACATTGGCAATGAGAATCGTGTGCTCTCTCTTGTCTTTTCCAAATGTACAAAAAGTCTTTTTCCCAGTGGGATTCACAGTTTCGTAAGTCTCAGTCTCCACATTAGCTTCCACTGTGGGTACAAAGAGATTTGTGCGGTAATCTGCGTTTTCAGCCTGATTGGTTGCAGGGAACTGTGGCATCCAACACCTGTCAGAATGACCAAGCACTCGGCATTCATCTGTGCAATTAACGCACTCTTCCGGTTCTGTAACACAAAAGAGAAAACAGCAAATCCAATCATTAGGGTTGCCTTTGCAGTTCTACTGAGGCTGCGATCAGCTCTCACTGGGCTTGCTTGACCTCTGGTCTCTTAATTAAAAAGGAAAAGAAAACAATAATTAAAACATTTCAGGATGGTTGCATAAACCTGCTGGTTGAGACAATGGTTTTATTTCAAGTCTATTCTCTAGGTATTAACGAATTCCCATAGCCTGGGAAGAAGTAAAAAGTGGCCATTGGAGAATCATTCTCAGCAGAATAGAACATCTCTGTAAACTAATCTCCTGGGGATATCAGTTAGGGCTTTGTTCTGTAACCCATCCTGGAAACAGGAACTTCAAAAAGGATTACCAGGATTAATTTTTCAAATCAAATAACAGGGCAAAAACTGGATAGCAAACTTCCATAGCAAGTCCTAAGCTGCTTTTCTTTTTTCATGTTTTATCCCTATTTTGCTTGTAATTGTTATTTTGGTGACAGTTATGAAATAAAAGGTTTCCTTTAAAAGCCTGCTTTTCCTACTGAGAGAAGCAAATGGAATTTTCTATCAGAATGTGTTATGAATAAGCTTGTCAAAAGTGCACACTCCTATTGTATTAGATTTGCGTATGGAACATGTAATCAGTTTTCTTCACTGCAGTTTTTTGTTTTGGGTGTAAGTAGGTGAAAATGGATTTAGTCAACATAGTTCAGAATGAATGACAAATCATGATTTCCTGTTCTAAAGGTTAATGCTGTCTGTGAGAATTTTTGCTTCTCTTTTGTCAATAAGCAGGCAGATAATCTAAATACAGCATTATTTAATAATCACTATTTCAAAGATGCTGAATAAGAAAATCTCAAAGAAAATTCCTTCATTATGACGACAGACACATATGTCCATGACCTCAATATTTTAAACTATAACTTTGAACTACATCTTCCTGGTTGTTGCTTTCATCTGCAAATGGTTGTTCTCCTTATGTTTAACCATCTTTTCTACATCAGGGACTTTCTTTTTTTTTCAAGAGAGAATATTTACAATTTACCTCTATGTGATGGGAACAGAATTCCCTACACGTTTGGGAACCCTTGGGATTGCCATTTAATTGATGCAAGAGGATCCCTACAAATGTATAATGTCCTCTGCAAGGAAAAAAGTCTACATAAAGATATTTAAAATGGAAAGCAAATTTAACAGCATTGATAAATGTATAGTTTCTTTTCAAAGTCATAAACAAAATCTGAGTTCATATTAAAAACACAAAAATAATTCCTTATCCAAAAAGAAAAAAAAACGCAATGTATCTCAAAAGGTTTTAGGATAAAATAATTTTCTACGAGACTAAATTCTTTTAAAAAGGAGTCAAAATGGTGTTTTGACAGAACAAAAATACTGTGGTATTTCATAGCATGTATCATTCACATGTGAAATGTTTTTAAAAAAAGTAACTTGGTGGCTTGTTTCTATTTTAATTTTGTCATGCTTTAAAAAATTTATTTACCTATGAGTGAGTAAAATATGTTGTTTGTTATGTAATGCAGGCAAGAATCCTGAAATGTAGTCTCAAACCGAACTGTCTACCCACAGATCTCAAACCCTGTCTATGATTTGAAAGGTTGTTAGACAGACGGACAGAAGAATCTAGGCATATAAAATTGCCTAGAAAGTCTTCCTGTGTGGATTTAAAGTAGACCAGAAATTAAACAAACAACAGGATATCAGAAGAGTTTAATATCAAAAAAGATAAGGCTGTAAAAAAAGGGAAAATGTAATATCAGGTGTCTTTTATATTACCTATTCTGCAAGGGAATCATAAATATTATGCCTCTATATCTGTGTCAGTCAGTGTTAGAAAAAAAATACGTTTCATTTCATTCGACCAATTTTATCCTTCAAAAATACACCAGAAAACTTTACTATCTATTTCACTTGGTCATACTTTTGTATCTTTTAAAGCTGTGATTTTTAAAATAAATTCATTTACAACCCATACACCCTCTTTGAAATACGGTAACATAGGTTTATATTCCAATATTGACTGGCCTCGATTTCAGCCATCTGGAGAGCCTAGCACTGAATGAATCCAATATGAGTTTAAGAAGAGAGTGAATGAGATAGAATAATGCAGATGTATGAAAGTGTAAATCGACCTTGACTTTGACACCATCAACAGAAAACGGTTGTTTGCATTTCACCACTGAAACTCTGCGGCTTTTTACGCGACTCCTTTGTGTCACATCCTAGGGAGCAAATCTGGAGTATTGATTATGACATATCATAAGCTGTTCACCTTGTGATTAGACTGTAATTTTGACAGCAGCAGGGCACAGACAGTGGAGAAAAATCAAAGGGAAACTTTTGTACAAGCAGCAGAAACTGAGCATAAAGGGAACTAAACTGCCAAGGGTCAAATAAGAGTTTACGAGAGAGGGGAATTATGTCTGAAGTAATGTAAATAAATAGATGACTAGATAGGTACAGAAAAGAGACATAGGTAGTAAACAATGAATGACTAGCTAGAGCAAAAGAAAAAAAAAGACAAAATGATACACTTGGAGAAAAAGAAGGAACACTAAGTAAAGGAAGAGGCAGAAGGAGCGAGGCAGGGGTAGGGCCAGGGGCTTAAGGGAAGGGGGTTTGACTGGGAGGACTTCTGCCACACACACCCTCTACTATATTTTTAAAAATCCCCTCAATAAACTGTGTATAATAAAGAATAATAGCGTAGAAGATTTTCTCAAGCACTAGGACTTTAAAGGTAGATAATAAAACTTCTTCCTGTACCTTAAGGAAAATGAATCTCAGAATAGATATGCTGAATTACAAACTCTGAAAACGAAAAAGAACCAAGTTATATTTACAGCCACTATTTGCACAGATTAGATAGCTGTTATCAAAAAAAAAAAACAAATTTAGAGTGCCTGGAAAGAAGAAATCAAAGCAAAAATAACTGATCCAAGATTCACTTTTTCTTCTGGACTAATCTGGGGTTACAAAGAAATCAGTTACCCTCATTTTTATCCCTTCCTCGATATAACATGATTATCCCTTTCATAGAATGCACCCTTTGCCAAGAAAGATGGAATAATCCAAATGGTACACGGATGAGAGAAACTGAGAGATAAGGATGTTTACATGGCAAAGTGAAAACAATTCTGAAGTCCAGCAGCTGGAACTCTGGGCAGTTCTGTCTATACAGGAAGTTCACAGCATCTAATCTTTTAAATGCATAATTCCCTGAAGAATCATGTGACAATCAGATCAATTTAAATACTTGTTTAGTATTAAGAATCATTTTCTATACTACAATAGTCGCATCTGACTATTATACAAGGTCCCAAGGGGAGGGATCTAAACACCATCATCTTAATTAGCTCAATTTTGCATCTTAATTTATACAATTTTTTTTCAGAAGCTATAGTTACTCAAGTGACTACAAGTACTTGCAATTCAGCTGCACCATAAACCACACACACATACACACACACACATACACACACACACATACACACACACACCCATGTGTATAGATCTTCATTTGCATATGTATTTAAAATTGAGCTTTCTCCAGGAAATAGTCCAGACAAAATTTAAAACCTCAAATGCATATCCAATGCATTCCTGAAAATTAAAAATCAGTAACTACCATAAGAGAAATACAAGTGAATAGAAAAAACACACAGGAAAAGTCCCACATTTATAACATAAAGAATAACATAAATATATGTATATAACATATATAAACATATTATAAATATAAAACCTTATGTATATAATTTACATATATGTATACATCTTTTTATTTAAAATCCCCAATAAACGACATTTTCATCTTTCCCGTTGCCCTACAACTGTGAATGTGAAATCTGATTGAATCAACAACTTGATCACTTCTGTTTTTAGAATTTTATATAATTCAAATTGATTTTGACATAAAGATGTTTGAAATCTGCATATTCATATTGGCTGACAAATCTGAAAGCTCTCTCTCTCTTTTTAACCTAGACTAAGGCATTCAATTAGCTTAATCTTTAAAATGTTAGGCAAGCAATAGTTTTCTGCCAAAATATACCTTCAAAGGAACTGCGACTATGAAAGTTATATCTACGTGAGGAAAAAATATTTAGGTAAAACATCAAATTATCTGCCTTAAAATCATTGGATTTTAGCACTCTTTCACAAACGTTACCAAAATTTAAGGTTCACAGTGTGATTTTAACCTTGTAATGTCACTATATCATGAAGCGTGCATAGCCATTTCAAGATAGTTAACAGGGTCCAACAATTACTAAGTATCAGATTAAAACACTCTTTAAACCAGCAAGGATTAACAAAGATTAAGGGGCTTCTGTCAAACACAGTTATTTTGGGAGAAGTCAGGGGAAAAATCCTTGCCTGTTATGACCTGATGGTGTTCACCACAAAGGAAACATGTCGAGAAACCAGTCCATAAAATTTCTTCCTTCAGAGTAAATCTACTTCTTTATTCTAATCTGTCTCACTCTCAGGGAGGAATTTATCACAAATCAGAAGATAAGCTTATTTTCCCTGTCTTCAAAGCACTTTACCACACCACCCAAAGAGAGAGACTAGCAACTAATTTGTTAACACTTAGGGAAATATTAGAAAACATAAAAGGATTTCCTCCCCTTAGTTTCAAACTCGCCTGCTGCCTCCAGAGCCCACATATTTGTACATCAGAAAACATGCATATAGTTTCCAGAATAAGAGTTTCAGATGTGCATCTGATTTAATTTCTATAATCAAGAAATAAATGTCCCTGTCTTAGAAATCTGAAAACCAAAATCCAGAAATCAGAACATCACTAAGGAAGTTCTAAAGTGCTGTAGCCATGAGGGAAGGATATTTGAGGATATTTGAGAGTCTTCTGTGCCTGATGAATGTCAACAAACTGGCTTTATTTCTGCTTTGTAAGTAGCTTTAACTAGGAGGGGTACTCATCTCTCAGTGAAGTGGTTGCTATTATTTCTAAAAGAATCTTA